CATATCCACCTGCTGACATCGTACCTGAGAAGCCTGGACCCCGCAAGTTAACCCTGGGTGAGTTCGATCGAGAGATCAGTCGAAGGGAGGAGCAGGCCCTTTGGGATATGCTGGATCTTGAGCCAACCGTCAAACTTGAAGAAGCCAATATCGGCGAAGAGAGCGACGAGGATGATCCAGAAGAAGGTGAAAAGATTACAACACTTCCCGACGGTTGGCGCTCCTGGACACCCTGGCGTACCGAATGGGAGGAGTTCGACACTCCACCACCTGAAACTGCCTTTTTTGCAAACCAGAAGACTCTTGATGTGCCACCCATCCTTCAAGGGCACAGCTCAGACACTGCCGAGTCTAGCTCCGACGATGATACCGACGCACCAACGCAAAAGCCGAGGCATCAGAGCAAGCCGTCCATTCAGCAAACGGTTGAGCTACAGACCCGCGGTACCCACGCTTATGCTGCGCTTCAAGGTCAAAGCTCAAAGCCTGTTGGGTCTCCAAGCGAATCTAGCTCCCAAGACGATGATACGAGTGATGACAATGCACAAGACCATGGTCTGCCTCAACCCCCCATCGACGATACTAGGGTGGAAGTTCCTACCTCAGAATCAAGCGATGATTCGAGTGATAGCAGTGATTCTGAGTCGCAACGGCCGGCGCAGTCTATTGAAGACAACAAGAAACCGACTCCCAGCGTAGGATCGAGCGAAGTAAGCACCGACATAGAAATGGATCAGCCTGTGCGGTCCGTTGAGCCTCGCAGCACTCGAGTTCCCGCGCCGGATTCAGACGACGAGCCGAAAGAGATGGATTGGGAGAGCTTTATTCAGGAGTAGTATATCACATGCGTTTTGTTTGTCGCATTCGACGTAGGCCATAGCCACATCAGTAATCATCAGAGCTTTCGGTCTCTCACTGTCGAGTCTATCAACGTGATGGGCTACGTACTCGCAGCAAACGCTCACCTCAACCAGCCTGTCGAAGCGCCCGACCCCCATACTCGTCATGCCTTCTCGTCCACTCGAATCAAAGCACGTCATACGCCTCTGTGAATTCCACTGCAATGTCAGCGAGTTATAGTGGACTGCGAGACCCAGCCAAAAGGACCTGAGCAAGTTATACGTCACGGCACATCACATTCCTGGCTTCATGGGTCAAATGCTTCCAATTTGCCACGTAGCGGACCTCTATCGCATCTGTGACTGCCTGTAACTTCGAATAGATGGGGTGCTGTACGCATCACAGGCCACAACTCACTCAATGACGCAGCTAAATCCGCTCTCCCATCGTCACGCACTCGTTATATATATACATATATATACGCACAAAAACTCTCCTGACATCTTCTCCCTCCACTCTACACCTGCAGAACAACCAACAACCCCGACACATCCAACCCCCTTTAATCACCTCCATCTGACCAATATCTCAGACAATTACCCAATACCCACTACCTCGGACCTCACAACCAAACCAGCCCACGCCTCACACCCCCACAAACAAAAATATGCACATCGCTACCACCTTCCTGATCACCCTAGGCGCCCTCGTCTCCCTCACCATGGCCGGAGAAGGCGGCGCGCCGGACCCTAACTGTGGCGCTCCTTTCTGTAAGCGCGCACAGGCTATGGAGAGTATCAGGGCTTCGTTGCTGGCTAAGGCTAGCGCTACTGCTACTGTTGTTCCTACTGTTTCTGTTGCTAGTGCTGGCGCGGATGCGCATGCGGATGCTGAGGCGAAGTAGAATGGGCGGATTGGTATGTGCTTTGTCTTGGGATGCGGTGCGAGTGTTTGCTGACGACGGCGTGTAGATTGCTGGGGGTTGTTATTGAGATGGCTTTCTAGGGCGGTGTCTCTGAGCTGTTGATATTTGAAATGTGTGGCGATATTGTTACTGGGATTTGATGTAGTGGGCGCTGTTGAGCAGCGACAAAGCGCCATGGCTGGCATTTGTCGATTTCAATATGTTATGAAAAACTCATGTCACCGTAATCGTAGATCATGAAAACGTTTGCCTGTTAACAAAATGCTCATGTGATTGTTAAAAAAGCGTTTTTTCGATCATTTGCTTTGAGGTTCGAGAGATCATAGGCTTAGTTAGTACTGTTACCATAGCATAGCGACTATACTGAGCCTATGATCTCTCGAACCTCAAAGCAAATTACCTGAAGAACTATTTCTCTTTTCGGACAATTCTATGGAGAACTCCTGTCAAGCGGGTTGCGAAGGCTACTGTGAGTTGAAACACATAATTGTATGGATCTCTAGTAGCTGTGTGAACAGTCGACGGACTCGCCGGTTCACACCCGACTTGGGGAGGTTTTCTGTCGCGAAAACGTTGTGCCAGCGTATTATTGCATCTTTTTCGAGTATACCATGCCGATGCATTCGTGAACTTGTAGATATCTGCAGGATTTCCAGGGTGTTATGACATGACGGACGCGATAGTTCTCAATGAAAGTATCGTGTATTTGACCAAATTCATTGAGAACTATCGGGTCCATCATCTCACAACACCCCGGACATCCTGCGGACTCGCAAGTGCCTCAATCGTATCGTAACAGTGACGCCTGTTTCGGCTGCCCCAGATGACGGTGTTCGAGCTGTTGCTTGTTCCAACCAGATATACCGATGCTCCTCACAAGGAGATTGTATCGCCGTCCCTTATGTCCCATTCCGAATATGTTCAACCTTGGTATCAATCCGATGCATACAACTCCACTCATCGAGATAGAGTTCCTGCACCAGATTCACACTACCGAACCACTTCTCACCCAGTCCAGCACCCGGCAAGTCTGGGTTAAGCTTAAGCGCCTTAGCACTACCAGCCGCTGCCCCGTATTGTTCAAAATGCTTCAACGAGTCGATAGCCCACACCATCTGCTCGTCGTCGCGATAATGCTCCTTTAACCTCGCTCGTCTGATATCCTTCCTTATCTCGGCTTCGGCGGTCGACCACGGCGGCGGATAGTCGGAGGGCATGAGTTTCTCGCCCTTTTTCAGGCGCGCGTTGTTGGCTTGGATCTTCTTGGCGGTTTTGATGTGCCATTCGTCTTTGAGGATGCGGAGGCGTTCTTGTTCGCGGAAGAAGAGTTGGAGCATGTTCTTCCAGTTGAAGGTGATTTCGCGCGCTGCGACGTCGATGCTGAGGTCGGGTAGCTCGGTGTCGTTTACGAGCTCGCCGATGCTGATTGTGTAGTTGGGCATCTCGGCCTTCCAGTTCTTGACGTTCTCTTCCCAGCGGCGCGTTACTTTGTGGTGATGCTCGCGCTCCTTCTTCCCCAATGTTTTGTCTGAGCCGGGATCTGGTCGCTCATCTTTGAACCAGGCTGTGAGCTTATCTTTGCCTTTGCCGCGTCGCGCGAGTCGCGTGGACACCTCTGGCCTCTTGCTCTTCCCGCCCAGGTTATACTTCTCGAGCTGGAAGTCTATGTGTATTTCTTTGAGGAAGTGCTCGCCGAATGCGTGCTCGACGCATGCGCGGAGGGTGGGAGAGACGCGTCGCACGACATTCCAGAGGTGCGCGAGATCGGTGTGATAGCGAAAGACGTTGATCCACACCTCAGCTGGCAGGGAGGGACAAAAAAGTTCGCGCACGGTAGTTCGGCGTGGGGCTTTCGAAGCCATTTCGAATGCATGGCCCAGGGCGTTTGGGCCACATGATGCTTCACGTTCTGGCAATCTGAGGTGTGCCGTATTGAAGCCCAGGTTTGCGAGTCAAGCTAGTGACGTAAGCAGGGCCGTCATGACACTAAGTGACAGAACTCGCAACGAAGATGCCCACAAAGGACAAAAAAAAAGATGTCTGATCTCCCCACCATGAGTCGAACAAGGGACCTTCTGATAACAGCAGATATTACAGTCAGACGCTCTAAACCAACTGAGCTACGGGGAGAATACTTCAGATCGAAGTCGTGCTTGGTTATGACAAATTCAAAAAAACATCGGTATATATCGTCTACAGATTATAGGAGTTCACAGTCCGACGCATGATTTAGCTCGCAAGGATACATAGCTGTGGAGGCGGCAAGCAAGACAAATTTTGTTAGCCTTCAGTAATGAAGCGGGGTATTGGAAGCCGCTCTGTCCTTCCCCACACATCTCAGATACAGAACATCGGCTTCGCTGGTACACCTCGAACCGCGAAAGAGAGTCAGCTCGCTACTGAGTTGCGCTTCTATGCCTCTGCTGCACACCGTCGTATTTCGAAATGCTGTCGATACTATGGTGGGAAACGCCGTCTACCTATCTCAGCAAGGGATGACCAGGCTGAGCTCGTCCAGGAAGAATCCCTTCAGTTCTGCCGGTCGACCCCAGCAGTATGACGAATGCTTTCTGCCTATAGCCCTATAATGTTTTCTTGCTTACTGACGTCAAGCTTCTAACACCTGGGTATTCGTGATAGTGCATAGCACTTCCTTCCTCGTGGAGCTGTTTACTTTTCATGACGCATGCAAATGGGGACCGCACCCTTTCCAGCTCTGCGCGCCATTTGCGCACTCTCTTCATTCATCTCCTTGGTCGAAACATCGCACGGCGCTGGGATCGCAGCAAACGAGACTACAAATTATACTGGATGGCATAACGGTCCTGCCGAGCGCGGCACTATGACGATACTTTGGAGCTGTCTGGCTACCGTATTTGCCTGTACATGGACTATCCTCCATCTCAACGTCCCAGACCCTCTCGATAGTCAGGGGAAGAGATTCTGGCGGAAGACCAAATGGATGGGAATCACCGTCGTCTTTCCGGAGTTCGCGTTTGCGAAAGCAGTTTGCGAACTACAAATGGCGATCCAAGACCTACATGGACTTAAAGAGCAAGAAGTGAACTTTGGGTGGAACGTCGAGTACGACCGCGGATGCCAACTACTCTATTGGCTGTTCCATGAGTTCTCGTGGTCCAGACCTCTACCAGTCACTGCGCACACCAAACGCCGGACACCCAGTAACACAAACCCTTCCAGAACATGGACTCTAACACACTGTTATCTGGCGAATATGGGTGGAACGATTGGCAACATATCTATCCGAGGTATCCAGGTAGAGCACTTCCCAGTGACGGCACACGCCTTGGTCAAATGCTGTGTGCCGAACGGGCACAGTCCTTTCGAAGATGAGTATCTCACCAAGGAAGCAATCTTCGACAAGTCAAAAGTAGATAGTCTCTTCAAGATAGTCGCGACGCTTCAAATTCTGTGGTTGGTCGTCTCTGTCATCACGCGAAAGATGTACGATCTGCCAATCAGTTTGCTAGAGGTCTGCACCGTTGCTTTTGCTACTATTGCCATAGCTACCTACGCTGCAAACTGGGCGAAACCCAAAGATGTTGAGGTTCCGATCGAATTACCGAGAAGCGTCACGCCGAAAAAGGGCAACTGTATGCTGGGGGAATTGCACGGAGAATCCTTTTTCAAACGCACCCTTCGTCCGTCCCAACCTCGGTTGTCCAAATTGAATCATAGAGCGACGACATCCTGGCGCATTACAAACGACATGTTCAGACCCCAGGCGCAATCTGCACAATATTTCACATTAACGTACGCGTTGGCCTTGTCCACAGTGTGTTTCGGAGGCATCCATTGTGCTGCCTGGCAGAATTACTTTCCGAGTCGAACTGAGAGGACTCTCTGGCATGTCGCAAGTGTACTTTCGGCGACGTTGCCCATCGCCAACTTACTTGTTGTAGCTGTGCTATTCAAAGTGCTGGGCAAGAAAGCCAACGAAGCCGTATCGACTACTGAGTTTATCATGAAGTCTCTTGTTGACAGGCCTCACAAAATCACACCCGAGCCGGAACAGTGTAGAGACTCGAGATACGTCAGGCTCTCCTGGATAGCTAACACCCTCTGTATTGCTGAGCCTCCCGAACCCGGAGTAAGTACATGAGCGCCTCCCTATTTAAGTCTAAGATCCAACGTATGACTAACGCTTCCCTAGCCAAGCTTCTACCTCCTCCCCTGCATAGAGGCCCTACTTGAACTCCAAACCGGCGTGAGCAAAGGTCGAGCGTCGATATCATGGTGCAGAAACAACCACTACTGCTGGAAACAACTGTGCAACACAAAATACCTCTACAAGCTCGACGAAGCCCCACGAGATAGTTCAAATTTCGTCCGCTTGATCAATTTCAACGGAACATCTCTCCAGAGACCAGCTATATCAGACACAACCATGTCGCTCATACTGGAAACCATCAACAACTTGAACGGAACGACAGAGAGACTTGAGAATGACTGGGAGTTGATAGAGAAATGGGTGGAGAGACTGTCCTCGATTTTCACGTTGTTTTCTGGTTCGATCTATGTTGTAGCTCGCCTCATTTTGCTCGTTCTAGCCTTTGCGGCTTTCAGGAAGCAGGATCAAAGGTTGTACATTGATACTTGGGCACGCTTCTTGCCAAATGTTAGGTAGTTTGTTCCTAAGCCTAGCATACACCATGGCCGCCAGCATGTCGTACTATAATGTAACGCAACAATTGCTCTCGTTGAAGGGGTATACAGCACAAAACGCAGGCCCCACAGGCCTCATTTACTACTCTCATTCGGCATTCCGCACAGCACTAATGTCAAGCAATTTCATCACGTTCATCACACACCCACAAAGCAAGATAGTAGTATGTAGAATATATCATTCTGTCTTAACCATACTATGTAACCACACCAACGCTTTTCCCCATCCCAGCAAAAAAAGCGCCGATGAACGAACTTCCAGTCTGTGTTCGTGTCCCTTATATCCCACATCCTCCCAATCCAAAAATGGTATAGAAAACCATAAAGAGAGCAGCCACCCAAGCCCTAATTCATTACCACGAAAAGAAAAAAAAGCGGCCCAAAGCACTGAAAACGGGCACAGCCCCCCCTTCCCGAAGGAAAAAGAATCGAAGAAGATGAAAGGAGTGGTGTGAAAGACAAAATACATGAAGCGTAAGATATTAAAGATACACAACGAAGCGAACAATGACAGGACAAGGAAAGTGTTGATAGCAACGACGACGGTAAATAGCAGACTGGTATCGCGCGACAAGCAAAAACAAGATTTTGTATCGGTCGGCATAACAGGGACGTAAGAAAAGACATGACGACGTAACGACCGCATCCTGGTCGCTTGTGATCCAAACGCCAGCGGGTATAGACAATATCAATATCGAGGTTGTAACAGATTTGTTTTAGACTGCCGAAGCACGTAGCGCGGCCTCGGGTGGTGTGGGAGGCAGTGGCATGGTGGGTGGTGGAGCGGGGAGACCCATGCTCGATGGTGGTGGTGGAGGGAGCGGCATGTTGGGTGGAGGTGTGGGTGAAGTCAGGTTGCGCGGTGGGGTCGGTAGTGTCGGTAGTGGCATGGTTGGTGGCGGGGCGGGTGGTGGTAGGCCCATGGACGCAAGGCTTCGTCGGGGTGTAATTGTCTTTTGCTGCGCGAAAGCTTGCTGTCGGAGTGCTTCGACACTAGGTGTTGGCTTGTGAGATCTGGTGTCTGATGATGGAGCAAGTGCGTTGGACATTCTTCGGCCGGGAACAAAGGACGGTGTGGATGCGATGGCGCGGATTGGGCGGTTTGACAGGAAAGGCGCGTGGTCGGCTGAGCGTACTTGTACTGAAGCAGGACGGCGCAGTTGTTGCGATGCCTGCGCGGAATGCAGACTGTGTGGGTTGGTGGTGGGCGTCATGTTCGAAGCTGCCGACGGCGGCCTTACAGGGGCAGTCACCGATCGGTTCATGACCATACCAGATGGCAGTGGCGAAGGTGTTGGCGAAGGCGTGAGAGAAGACTGCCGCCTTGGCAGGATCGTGGACGAGTCGCCATGCTGTGCTTGAGGACGAACTGGAAATGGCCGTAAGAAGGGCTTTGGCGAGATCCTGCGACGAGTCTTGCCATCACCAGCACTGGCAGTAGAAGCATACATTGGTGCCGGGCCCATCATTGACTGACGCTGGGCGGGTGGCGGGGGTACAGGAGCAGGTTCTTTGGGAGGAGGTGAAATGGTATCCCGTCGAGGTGTAGCGCTGTAGATGTGCGCGTTGAACCGTACTGGGCTATCCTCACGAGTGGGTACAACGTCATCGCTAGCGGCCTGAACGGAAGTATCGATCTTCGGCTGAGAGGGAGACGAGCGGGCTGGCGCGTTGTCGACCGTGCTTTGAGCTGCCTCCTCCTTCACTGGTACGACCGGGCCCGCGACGAACGGCTTCCCTAGTTCTGGCACTGTCGGAGAGACCGGGCTGTACAAGGAGTGTCGCTTGATTGTAGAGGGCACAGTCGTGGTCTGGATCAAGTGCTCATTAGTGATTGGCAAGGGCTGCATTGACCTGCGGCGAGACGACATGGAGTTACTGGGGTTCATGTGGAATGACCGCAGCGACATGGCACTTCGCATGGGCTCACTCTCTCCAGTGGTGAACTCATCTTTGAGAGGGGAGTGTGGTGCTGGAGACGACTCCCGCGATGTGTTGCGGGTGCCTGCGCCTGAAGCTGACGTCGCTGTCGACATGAACGAGTATCGTGACCGTCCGCGAAGCTGGTCAAGCTGTACTTGATGCTGAGAGACAGGCGTCGAAGCAACCGATGACATTTCGATTGAGATGCGGCTGTTATTGTTATTGTTGTACCGAGCCGACTGTCCACTAGAAGAGTCGATGCTGATCTTGGTCTGGTCCTTTTCACTGGCGTCCCATTCAGAGGCCACGATTTTCGGCGACGTTGAAAGCTGCGGCTCCGTGGACACGATCCTGCTGACAGCATTTGGGTCGCGGTTGACCCTGTACCGGTGACTAGTTGTTTCTGAGGAGTTCTTGCCAGCGGAGTCATCTGTAGAAGAGGACGCTCGCGCGTAGTCATCCTTTGCCTTCATGCCGCCGAGGCTGTCGATCTCCTTACGCACACTGGTCATCCACTCGTCCATCTCTTCCGCACTCTCAAGAACGAGGAGAAAGCTTGTGGCTGTCTTGCGCATGGTGGCATTTTGTGTTCGCAACCGAGCAAGAAGAGAGTTCTTTGGTCCTGATTCAAATGTTCCGTCGTCGCTTGCGTGGCTGGATATCTGTAGCACCCAGTGCTTGCCAGGTATGAGATCGCACGCAAATGCCGCTGATTCCTTGCCGAGTTTGAGCACCTTTTCAGGCAAGCGATCGAACGCGCCATCACCGGCATACTGTAGCACAAAGCCGGCCGTGACCAGAATGTATATCTTGTTGACAAGCTCCGGAGGTTGTGGGTTCAGCACCGAGTTGGACATGAGGCGCTTGTGGTTCTTTTCTAGTTTCTTAGTCTCTGCGCCGTTCTCTGCGATGGTAGACAAGTCGCGCTGGATGTCTAACTTCTCGCGCAGCGATTCAGCCTGTTGTCTCTGACTTTGTGTCCTCATCAGGATCTCCGGGGCGAACACACATGCCTGTACGGTAGCGTGCTTCAAAGACTGCGGGAAAGCCTGGAACAGCGGAGGTGGATCCCAGTTTCCGAACTCGTGGTGTAATGCAGCTGGTCGCATCGAAACGGGTCGGAAGATCTGGCTTGAGCGTGCGCGAATCGTCTGCTGGGCGGGCGGAGAAGGATTCTGTCGGAGAGAAGACTTGGGTATGGAGATCGGTGGGCTGGGTTTAGGTGGCGTCTGCGGTCGCATTGGTACGGCAAGGCCAACCTCGGTGTGCCCGCGAGCTTTCTCTACTTTGGGTTTACTGAAGAGGCTGAACAACGACATCTTGGAGGCTACGCGTTCCACTTTCTTAGGAGGTGCTGGCAACGGGGCCTGTTTCTTCGCTATCGACGGTGTTTGTGATGCGACGGATGGTGACCGTTCCGGTTCCTGCAGAGTCGCGGTGGATCGATTGAAGCGCCATCGAGACGACATCGATGAGCTGTGAGTCTTGTTCCGCATGTTGCCGACAGGATTGGACGAAGCAGCAAAGATTTGGCCAGACAGGGCGGACATGGTGGGCGACCTTGGCTTATGAAGCCGGCGAAGTACGGTCGATACCAGAGCAACGTTGGCTCAAACGGTAGATGTGGGCGGGCAATCCAGGTCGTGCAAATTGGTTGCACGGGCAATCCAAGCGTTCCTCAAGACCCTGACAGGGTAGGCTTGCATTCAGCGTAAGCAAACCGTCGGACCGAGTCAAAGTATGGAGTCAGTAGAAAGTAGTTTGTCGTGGGAGTAATAGTGCAGTGCTGCAGTATGGCGAGATCAGTGCGCCGGTAGAGAGTGTGGAGATTGCCAGGTTGGGGGTAGAAGGAGCGTGGTATAGGTGGCAGGAGTATAATACTAGGAGAGGGAGAGATCAAACGAGAGGACAGGACATGAGCCCCTAGAGAAGCAGAACGAGCTGCAGATATGACGGAAGCAGAGGAAAGCAGACGGGACTGAAACGACTTGTCAACGTTGAGTTGAGTCGTGGAGAGGAAAAGTGGCAAGCGTTAGTTGCCGCAGATGAATGCTCCCTAATCATGGTAGCGTACAGGGGGAGCTGTTCCCAGGTTCCGTCGTGTGTGATGCGAGGACGCAGGGGCTGCACGAAGGCCCCTTTACGGTCATATTCAGAAGAAAGTTGGGAGGGATGCGATGGCGCCGCACGCTAGCGCTCGCCTGGCCAAAATTGGCGTGTTTGACCTGGCTAGCCGGTGAAGTGTCGGCACAACGTCTTTTGACAGTGCTCGCAAGCTACATAATAGACTCGACGCCAGACGGCGAAGGTGTGTTGCCCGGACGCAGCGGGATCTCATCAGGCGCCGACGACGATGAAGATTGTCGACGTGCAGCCACGATGTTTCAGCGGCAGCCTCGGGCCACTGTGCCCAAGGCCGTCGCTGAAGCTTGCTGGCGTGCTGGCCCAACGTGGAGATTTGATTGCACGGCGTCGTGACTGGAGTCGAGGCCTGCACGATCTACGACACGTCGGCATGAATGATCGCCGACAGTCAATACTCGGAGATATTGGATGGGGTTCGCAAGCTCGATATTCCTTATTGCGGAACCCATGGCCCCTTCCCGCCAAACACGAATTGAATCTGAGAACATGTGGTGAGGGCGCGAAAAAGCAGCGCGGGCACTGCGGCAGAAGTACCCGGGGGTGCTCTATGTAGAGCGACACAACTCTGGGCGTTTTGCATAGTGGTGAGGTCGTCTCAGGTGTGACGCAGACGGCGAGGTGCATGCACGTATCGATTATCGAGCTGCGATGCCCGCCGCTGCACAAGGGTGGCATGCACAGTGGGAATAGTGCGAATCTTATTGCGGCGCGAGATTTCGCAGGGCTGGAGCGAGGAAACAGACAGCAAAAGGAAATGAGGCTGACCTGGGGAGGATGCGGCGTGGGCGCAGGTGTACCTTGCAGTAGCGCTGGCCGTGCTCAGGGCCGCCCAGGTGTCACGCTTAGCCCCGCTCACCCCACCAACCTCATCGAACGGGAGCTCAGCACGAGGTC